GCCTCAGCTTTATTGCTGCCATAGTGCCTGGTCAGAAGCAAAATTCTATGAAAACACGAAAATGTTACTTGACAATACTCATTCTTGAAGTAGAAACAAAAGGGGACCTAAATCATAGAAAATAGTTGACGAAAAGTGTCACTTAGAGCGGTTATGATTGACACTTACAAGTTAGGCTTAATGTCAAAAGTCGTCATGGCCTAATAATCCTGAAGACAGGTAAGCTATGATACGGCGCTGAGTTCATACGCAGCTTATTATAGTTAAAGAAAGGAGGTCGACTGAGTTACCATCGGGGTGTGATCGCCCCGGGTGAAATTTCATCATGTTTTTGTAGTAACGAAACTTCTGAGGTTGATGATATTTTGAAGAGGTCAACGGATTCTCTCTGATTGGAGTTAACCGTGTAGGTGGAGTAAATTATAAAAACGGCAATTGCAGTCAGTTAAAGTAAGGATATATACATCGAAATGGAAAAACTGAAGTGCATTTTGCCGAATACAATTACTTGTAATAAAAGAAATGTACCGGGCTACGCACATGTAGATGGGCCAAACTCAACTCATAAGGCGAAAGAAGTCCGGATATTTTGATAATATCACTTTTCGAAAGCTTTGAGCAAGGCATTTGGAAAGGAAAATTTGCCCAAACTTCCCAGTCTCTCTCAGCTAAAGTGGAAGAATACGAGTCAACCACCCCAAATTTTCATACGAATTGGAAGTCCCCCTAACAATGTTATCTCAAAAGATTCATCGAAACCCAATTTATTTTCGAATCAACAGAAAACCATGTGACAAAAAGCATGACTATAATGAGGGCAATAGTGGTGCTTATCGTTGGGACTGTGCTACTTAGTATAAAGATAAAAGTGGAAAGGACCGCCAGAACATACGGCCTGGATGCGTAGAAGACTGATAGAGACTGGAGCCGGAGTGAATTGAACCGTCATGCTGATGAAACCGGGTTGCCAAGGCGAGCTGAGAATTCCGACATTCAACTCGACATTACCGAAGCCCTCGAGTTGGTGCTCGAACAGGAGACAGTACTGCGGTGCCAAGGTGCGACCAGTCTAAAATTAGGCGAATAAATTGGATGAAAATACGGACGATTATTTTTAAGAATAAAAAAAAAAATGGATGCAGACTGACTAGACTAAATAACT